GTCTGATGTAAGATATTGCCATTCTAGGCCTCTGTGGGTTATTTTTATTTTATCTGATGAGTCCAAAAAAAAACAAAAAAAAAACTTTTTCCACCTGCCCCTTTTTATTATTTAAAAAAAAAGGGGCAAACAAACAATTAATACTTTTAGGCCTAATAGGGAGATTTTGCAACCTTAAAAGAGAACTAGCAAAATGATTTTTTGTTCTACAGTGGATTTTTGATATGCCATTTATAATAGAATCAACCTTAAAATCGTTTTTTGGCTATTTTTGATGAAGTTATAGGCGATTATATACGATTTTACCATGACGTCACTAGCGAAAAAGTAACAAAAAATCGTGTAAATAGCGCCGCGTAGGGTATCCACCGCGTAGGGTATCCGCTGCGTACGATCTTTGCGTGCATGCTGTAACAATCACAATTTACAGCCAAGGTTACAGCATACACGCAAAGATCGTACACGGCGGATACCCTACGCGGCGCTATTTACACAATATTTTGTTACTTTTCGCCAGTGACGTCATGGTAAAATCGTATATAATCGCCTATAACTTCATAAAAAAATAGCCAAAAAACGATTTTAAGGTTGAATCTATTATTAATGGCATATCAAAAATTTTGCTAGTTCTCTTTTAAGAAAACGAATATCATCGTCATTCGTACCTGAAACAGTCTGAAACAAGCTAAATATGATCCTTGATTCATGCAAAAGTCATGAACCACCTACATTGCGGCAGATATGCTACAGTAGTTGAAGGTTGTCTAAAAATTTGATGATGTAACCGTATTTGTGGCAAAGACAAGCCAAACCAGTCACTCTTCACAAATCATGTTTCAGAGAGAATGGCCAAAACATGCTTTAATGTCAAATTTAAAAAAATCTATTTTATTGCACTAAACTAATCTTTACATATCTATACATCATTCTATGCTGTTATTTTCCCAATTTTCAATGTTAAAACAACACTTTTTAAAGATTTGATGGTAGTTTCTGCATGAGAAATGCCTGAAATCATAAACTTTGAAGGCTGATTTCTCATATATTGTTCTTTAAACTGCTATATGTTTAAACGCTTGTAACTTCATAAGGAAATGTCCGATTTGAATGATTTTTTTACCATTTTATAGCTATTATTTTACTCTCTAACACTGTATTAATAACTCAAAATCAATTTTTGCAACGAGTGACTGGTTTGGCTTGTCTTTGCCACATTCGTTTTTGTAAGCTAGCGAAAACTCCCTAATGATGATGGTGATATGATGATGATGACAATGAATATAGAAATGATGATTATGATGACAAAAATGATAATGATGATGACAATGATAATGGTAGTATTAATGATAGAATCAGATAAAATGTGACATTCTATAACTAAAGGATAATCTACACGGCCATAAACCATTTCAATTTCAGCTCAACAAATCTTCATTTGATGGAAATATTCACGAATAAATAAATATTTATTAATAAGGATTTTTAAATGTACTGCATGAACTCTCGTTCACGTCACCTCAACATCTACTTTAATTTGTTATTGATCCTGCTGATCTTGATTGAATAATATTGAATGCCCAATGTGGCACAAAAACATAAAATATCTATTTTTTTACATAATATAAGTGATGGAGCCAATATTTCGCCAATCAGCTTTAACCTAGTGCATGCAGGTGTGGATCTAATGGGGCATGGGGGGCACATTCCCCTTAGTTTTGCCACTAAATTTAAAAATGTCAATGCATATATTGAAATTAAAGCACACTTACAATTCTGAACATGTTGTGCCCCCCGACCCCCAATTTAAAAAATCCTGGATCCTCCGTTTTATAGGTTACGAATGAAGTATTCCTTTACAGATGCGCCAAAAGTATTGTGACTATATAGTTTTATTAAAGTGTACTAAGTATGCTTGCATAATCACAATTGATACAAAGAAGATTGCTGTCAGTAATGTTACTATAAAATAGAGCATCTTCCTACATGCCTCCCTTGGGAAAGATTAAGAAATTAATTCTCAGAAACTCAACTACAACTTCCTGTCAAATAATCAGTAAAAAACCTGGTTGACTTTTCAAGAACCAATCAAATGTAGCAGTTGGTGTCTTTACATGAATGACTTTACCAATGTGGTCTGCAACAACAGATGATGTACGCAATGAGTCATCAAGAGATCTGCACGTACACATGAATACAATCATCAAATGCCGCTAACGATTTTGATAACCATGTTAACATATTTATACAATAATATAGGAATTTATACAACAGGATTAAGAACTGGCCAATGGAACTACCATGGGAAGTTATCCAGGATTTTACATGTTTCCACCTGGCCCGATGCTACCGGACGATGTTGCCTCTGAGCATATTATCAATTGTACAAATTTCCACTTGGGACGTAATTACAATACCTACTCCTATGTCACTAGCCTTTTGCAATCAGGTCTGACGCCACACAAGGCTGGTTACAACACAGCCTTTTGAATCTGCCCTGTTGTTTATTTAGGTACATTGCCATAATACTAGAACCAGGTCCATAGGCAGGGGGTGCAGAGGGCGCACCCCCACCCCCAAATTTCAAAAGGTCCACTTTTTAAAACCTATTATTTCACTAAAACCGTTCCCAATTATCGTGAAATTCTATGTACTAATTATGGATTTTAGAAATCCATCAAACTGCGTCAGCTTTTCCCCATACCCCCTCCGGGGTCTGTCCCTGGAATCCTAGACTGGCCACTCGACCAGCCTATGGCTTGCTTCGCTTGTAAAAGCACAGTCCCACCCCTACGAAAAATCCTGCCTACGTGCCTGTAGAATTTACCATTAGATATTGTCATACTACCTGTAGTAACAATAATATTATAGAATACGAAGACATAATACAAAATGAACAATAGCGTATACCAATACAGAGACCTTTCAGTAATATTAAATATTTGCTTAGTTTGAATATATAGTTATAATTAACTTGAGCACAAAAAAAAATGTATGGTTGGTTAGTTGGTATATATTTTTATCTAGGATAAAACATTTTTCTTGAAAACAGTTACAAAAACAGTAACATAACAGTATTTCATGCTTTGCCGACTCTTGAAATTGGCTGGTAACGAATTTAATGATTTTCGTAGTTAAACGTCTGTGGATCAGCAAAAGTTTATTGCATCTCATAAAGTTGACAAATTATTTGCTCTTTTATTTTTTTATTAAAGTTTAAGTGTTTTTCCTAATATTTTACCACATAGTTTGTTTTAAAATCAATATACCTTTCTCATTCGTCAACTATGAGAAAAACAATAATAATCAGAATCTGTCTTGAGAAATTGTACCATCTTGACCCAGCATAATAAAGATTCCATTAGCAGAATATTTATTGTACTTCCCTCCAACTATGCCATAGGGTTTAAGTGAATACGAATGAAATAAAATCACAGTTTTATTCGGTTACACAAACCGACAAATATATATCTGATCCACAGAGCAAATTATTATTTTTTTTTCATGCCTCTTGATTTATTTTTATTGGAATTTGAAAAGTTTTTAGTTGTCTATCTAATTTAATTACTTCATTTTTACAAATCTTTGTAGCGTTTCAACTTAGAATTAAATTTTTTCCAATCTTAAATTGTGATTGAAATATTTAAAGGTTACGTATTTATATATATATATAACAAATAACCATTGGGGAATAAATTGCTTTCTGAATTCCCTGAAGAAATGTTTCAATTCGCAATGAATTTAAATGTTTTCCCTTCTTACAAAAGGGCACATTTAGCAGTGTGATGTGTGCATGTACAGTGGTTGTATTTATTATTATTTTAGCTGTACATTTGTTTAAGATCTGCAACAGGCCATGTGAAACTCACAGACAGGATTATATTGAAGGGACCCATAGGGGCCGTACGAAAGCCCATTAAAGAAATCTGGGCTTGCAATGGATAAAAATCGGCCATAAAGCCCACATTTAACAACTATCTCCGTTAAAATTATGGTGACTTTGTATTTATTGGAATTTGCAATTATATGCCATTGATACAATATTTTTGTGGGGCTTTTCAAAGGTTTGTCAGTGGCTTACATACAATCAGAAGGATTTGATTACAATACACTGAATTATATGACATCACAAAATTCTTGTCAGTGTTCTGACCAGTGGCGGCACCAGCGGGGCAGGGGGGCTTAAGCTCCCCCATTGGTTTGGTCAAGCCCCCTCCCATCCGCCAAAGCTCGTCGGGCAGTCGGACCAAAAGAAAACAAAAAATAGGCCTAATTTTTCCATCTCAGACATTTTCGCGGCCACCTAGAAGTCCAAATTTTTAAACAAATCTTGTTTTCTGAGGAGGGGACATCCCCCTCACATACCCACCCCCGGCTTGGGCCTTCAGCCCTCAGATAACATTGCGCACTATAGTTACACGCATAAATACTTAGCCGCCCCAAGTCGGACATCTTAGCTCCCCCATAAATTATATCCTAGAGCCGCCATTGGTTCTGAGTGGTTAAAAAAAATTACTTATATTAATATTAATAATTCTAGCAAAAAAACACAATAATTGAAACATTATTTACAATGATTCATAGCATCAAATTAAATTTTACTATATTTTTATTCACAATAAAATTATAAAGAGTTTTAATAGGCCTTTTTGCACTGTGAAGACATGCCACACAACCAAGACTGACTGGGAGGATCATTGTTAATTGTCATTTTTTATATGAAAATACAATGTTGAGCCAGAAACCCACTGCATCGCATGATGGTCGTAGGACTGTCGCACAACAAACTCCACTCTCTGTGAGCGCTAGACAACAACGTGACGCTGTCTGCTGATTGTTGGTAGCATGAGTCTGAATGGATCGTCCTTAAATGATCCATTGCGTGCCTGTAGTCGCATTGCCTTCACCATAGAATCTCGTCAGCTGACGACCTTTGGCCGCAGTAAGTGCTTGTTTTTAGACAACATTATTGTTCCCAAAATGTTGATTAAGATGTTTCATCAGACTATTTATAACACTGAGCTGGGAGAACAGTTTGTATGCCTAGTATTAATACCTAAACTGTACATAAATAGGTCAAAATGTGATGAGGCTTGGTACACTAGCTGTGTGGATTTATTTTCGACTGTGTCCCTTAATTTCAAATCCAATAGTTATAAATTAGCTGCAGGGTAAACTCCGAAACATTTACTAATGTTTTTCAATAAGTTAGCTTACATTGAAATTCGTAGCATAAGTTTAAAGGAGTTTACAACAGCCTAATTGTATTAAGCACATGTTTATTATTGTGTGGAAACGCTGCACGTACAGTATCGGTTTGATTAACTCAACAGCTTTGGAAAATTTGTTGTATTTCAATTTTCAGCACTTATAAACCTACATTTTATGGTTTTGATCAATCACCTTTAAGGAACCTATAAAGAAGCCCCCACTAGCCAACGGACAAGTTTGTATAGAGCCCCATCTTAGCCCCTGAAGCATGCTTTAATTGCATGGTCTTGTAAAGCCAGTCAGTAGGTAAGGGGTTGGGTACTGTAGGTGTAGTTACAATTTGCAAGTGGATTGTGATGAAATTCCAAATCATTCCAGACTTTCAGGTGTACAGACTGATAAATCCACATCCGAAGTAAAAGAAAATGAATTCCTAAAAGACAGGAGAATGACAACAGCTGCCAAAAGTCTATTAAAATGCTACGGCATATCCATCAATGCATTTTAATCATCGTGAAACTATATCACTCAATGAAAAGATGTTGGGCGAGAATTAGAGAACTTAGTCACCATATTGATATTGGATTATTCCAAAGGCTTGCAGGTGGTAGACAGGAAGGAACGCCCAAATAAACTACACCATCAATCATGCCGTAGATGAACTTACGGGGGAAAAGGTCAATAGGATATATGGTATTTGATTATTATTATATAAACTCACTTTCTGCACTCCCTCAGGTTAGTCTTTAGTCTTAGCAGCCATTTAACTATTGAAATCCAATTGTTTAAGATGGACGTTAATGATGTATAAAAACTATAAACTAATTTTAATGCATGTTTTCTTTTTTGTCAAATAGTTGAATATAATTTTTAATTATCTCATATAATATAATTTAAAGGATGATCTAAACTGTAAAGATCTAGACTGTAAATAGAAGATATATTACTGTAACATAATTTCACTAAAGTTTGCTTACAGTATATTTAAAATATATTTCAACAAAAATATGTGTTCATGGTAAAAATGAACGCGACCCTGTTTTGTACCTATTCTGCCACCAATTATCTCATATAATATAATGGGTAAGATGATTGACAATCTAAATTATAAAGATCTAGATTGTAAATAGAAGATATTTACGGTAAAACAAGATTTTTTAATGTAACTGTTTTTTAAATATGCTGCTGTTTGTTCATCATCCGATTAGCGATGTTTGGTTTAAGTCATGCGTAAACATTGCATTGCAACTATGAGAAACATTATCTTTCATTACGATACTCAGTGAAACGTGCCAGCAAAATAAAGCCAAGTAATACAGGTTCTCTACAAAATAAAAGTAGGACTACTCAACGAAATGTATCAGAGCTTGTGCGAGCTAATGATTGCAAATTATGAGGATGATATCTGTAAGAAATCTACAGGCTATTCTGATTGACCTTTCTACTGCATGCTCATAGTGTGTGCAGCAAAACAAATCAACATTAAATTTCCATTTTAATTAAGTCTACAATTTGTGTTAAGTCATATTTATCAATCATTTGATATTCAAAGATGTTTGATTAAATTTTAATTTTAACTTTTAAGTTGATGAGACACTAAATTTGCTTAGATTTCTGTCTGAATGTATCACATCTGCACAAATATAGCATTGAGGAGAATGGTACGGGCTCAACCTGAACTACACACTGAAATGGTTACTCAACATGCCCTAGGCCCTTTGCTAAAATTAGCAGTAGGCTTACATGCAGTTAAGCCAGGCAACAGTTTTTCATTTAAGGTAAAACAAGAATGCTTACCAAATACATTTCAATGCACTGAGATTACTATTAACATAATATGATTATAAATATGTCATTTTATAACTTTACTTTTATTCAAATATAATATTCGTATAAAAATCCAAGTCAGTTTCCTAATATTAACAATTTAAGACTTTTTGGCATTGTCAAATGCTTCCCCATTTCAACGTAGTTTTTAAGGATCACAAATAATACAATATTTTCACTCTGTTAATGGATTGTTTCAAGAAATTCGTTAAGACTTAAACTGGGCACTCACTGAGTCACACCGACCATCGTACTGCATTGGCCGACGAATACAGCTCCACTCCCGGTGAGCGTTAAAACAACGCGACAACGTCTGCTAATGGTTGTCTGAACAGATCATCATTAAAAAATATCCGTTGCACGTGCATTGTGATCTCCATCTGCTACACTTCTGATATACCTTGTACACATGTTTCTCAGGCACATAGTCTTTCCCCCCTTCAGGGTTTTAATGTCTCGTTTACTTGTTTATGTTTCTTTGTTTTTCTCTTTAATATGTGCACTTAACCCGGCTTTTGTAACCCCAGATCCATTAAACATGCATTACCTAGTAAGATATCTCAAGGTTGTTTTTGTGTGTCTGAATATGCACAATTTCTTTTGTTAAATATTAGTATGTAAAAATAGAATAGAAGCCTGGGCTTCTTCTTTTTAGGACCTTTGGAATGGGTTTCTTTTCAAGATTACTTATGCCAAACTAAATATTCTGTAAATATTTAAAATTTCTACTATTTTTTTTTATCAACTGTTCATCTGTCAAGGGAATTATGATACAGTTTTATAAGGAGATCAATTTTATGTACCTTGCTAATGATCCAAGTGTTGCATCAGTGTTGGTGTAGGTGTTTTAATGAGAGATAAATTAATACCCTGATTAAGATCAGAGCGTTGCATCAGTGATGTTAGTGTAGGGGCGTAATATAGAAGAGAGATAAATGAAGTACCATGAATGAGTGTTGCACCAGTGATGTTAGTGTAGGGGCGTTATAAAAGAGAAATAAATGAAGTACGATGTTATGAGGGTTTGTATCAGTGACTATGAAAGAGAGATAAAATAAATAACCGGTTAATTTATTGTAATTTACAGTGATGTTCGTGTTGGGGCGTTATAAACGAGAGATAAATGAAGTTTAATGATATGAGTGATTACGAAAGAGATAAATTAATAACCTAATAATAATCTGAGAGTTGCATCGGTGATAATGTCAGTGTAGGGGCGTGAGAGATCAATTAAGTACCTTGCTATATGTGTGTTGCATCAGTGATTAAAAGAGAGAGATATGAAATGCCTTGGTATTGATATGTGTTGCATAATTGATTATCAAAAAAGAGATAAATGAAGTACCTTCTTACTAATGAGTGTTGGATTGCATCAGTCATTATAAAAGTGATTACAAAAAGAGATATGAAATACCTTGCTAATGATCTGAGTGTGGCATCGGTGATGTTGGTGTAGGAGATGTTGAGATAAAGCAGGATATGGCAGCCTTCCGTGATCTCTCTCATGATCCCGTCATTCACTCCTGAGCATTCTGATAGATTCAGATCTTGGAGATTTTTACATCGACCTAATTTATTAACAACAAAAATAAAAATAATAATAACAATAATTTATATAAATAATGAGACATGTTAAATTGTATTTCTTTAACTAGTGCATTTTCATGCAATGTCCAACAAAATCTTTCTTTATTCTGGATACTTAATGAATTTGCCACTATTCTTCCTTAAGGTCCAGTTAACAGTAACATATTTAAAACATAAAATAATATTAGTAAATTATATACAACAAACAATGAAAATTGGTACACACAAGAAGCAAGAAGAAAAAGTTTTGAATTAAATCAAATTTTTGAAGGAATGCAAAGTTAAAGAATTTTATTGAACTGCGAGTATCTGGGGGAAGATTGTTCCACAGTAACTGAGCAGTACCGTACTCGCGCGAATAATTGCCCGGGCGCTTAAAATATTTGTTTGCACTTTCTGAGGGGCGCTTATGAAAACAGAGTGGAAAGTGAGTGGGCGCTTTGGAAATAGATGAAAATCTAGGGGGTCCTTATGGGAACTTACTAAATTCGAGAGGCACTTTTTGAATGAAAAATGATTATATAAGAACATTACAAATGGTGGTGCAGCAGAAAAGATAATCCTCCAGAGAACATGGCTCATGACAAGATGCAATTAGTGGTTGGAGGGTCACTGGTTAGCTTGTTGGCCATCGACCGATTGAGATTAGCAGATGGCAGGATCATTGCAGGTTTTCTTGAAAACTCAGATGAGAATGCGCTAAAGGTGCAAATTGTCGAAAAAAGAAAAAGAGGAGTTGGACTAGGCCTAGACAAATATATATAAGAAGAGAAAAGTTTGAAATACACTGTCTGTCCAGGGAACAGAGTGGTCATCTGTCCAAGAGAAATATCCTTATTTTGATATTGACCTATAAGAATGGTATTCCACTCTACAGCTCAAATCATGCCAACAACCACAGTCCCTGGATTGATTGGGTTATTGACTTGCTAAAAAAAAAAATCTTATAATATTATTGAGGGGGTGCTTATTCAAATTAGAAGGGGGTGCATATTTTTACGTTAGGAAGGGCGCTTATTCAAGAGGGAGGCTTATTCAAGCGAGTACGGAATTTTAATGTTTTTTCCCCAAAATTCATAGAAACTACACACAACACTTCAAGATCCCACCCCCAACAAAAACTATATACAATACTACACCGAGAAGACAGTTTCTAGATCATTGTTAGGCTATAAATTTTGAACCACTCTTGTAAAGCTTTAGTATAAACAACAGAATTAATACCACTGATTTATGCCTGTAAAATTAAGCAAGACACACACTGCACCGAGGATCATCAGTTTGTGCGATTAATAAGGAAATCACAATGCAATGTGGCAAGCACACTGATCGTTTTAACGACAGGACAATCCCTTCAGTCTTTTATCAACAATCAGTTATGGCACTGGATAATGCGCACAGAGAGCGGAGATTAATTTGTAGGCCCAAACTGCCTGAACGTTGTATGGTGCAGATCAACATTCAGTTATGGCATCGCACTGTCCAGCACGCACAGAGCGGAGATTAATTTGTAGGCCTAAGACGCTTGAATGTTGTATGGTGCAGATCAACATTCAGTTATGGCATCGCACTGTTCAGCGCACACAGAGCAGAGATTAATTTGTAGGCCCAAGCTGCCTAAACGTTGTATGGTGCAGATCAACATTCAGTAACGGCATCGTACTGTCCAGCACGCACAGAGAGCAGAGATTAATTTGCAGGCCCATGGCCGCCTGAACGTCGGATGGCGCAGTATTTGCCGCCTGCTTTTATAGTCTTTTTAGAAAGCTGAACACAGCAAGCAAATTAATTATTAAATTCTTTATAGAGGTTTCAAATAAACTTACTAATGGCAATAAAACTTGCTTTCTGAAGTCTGTTACATCCTCTTAAATTTAAATGGAGTAAGTACGGACGGCACTTTTGTAATAATAGTCCAACGGTACGATCAGTCACTCTGACAATAGAAATTACAATCTCTGTTTATCATTAATCAAAATTAAAATGCAATAGACTATCTTCCAATACAAATACTGCATATGTGAAACACGACATTAATAGTAAATTGCCTATCAAAACACAATATCACCCTCTATATGAATATTGTTATTAATTGCTTTGAGCCCATTTACAGTCCTAATTGTTATCTTATCATTCATAAATGTTTTGTTATGTAACGGACGCCAACGCTAACGCCATCTTAAGAGGATGTGCGTAGATAAAAATAACATCGCAGGTTGATAAATTGCAGACAGACGGAAGCAATATTTATAATTCCTTCAGAAGTACTTATGCCAAGGATAACATTTATTATTATTAATGAATAGCTATTTCATTATATTATAATGGAATACTAGCATCAATAGAATATTAAAGTCACATTTCTTTGATATCTAATTAGCTGACACATCAGCTGCATTATGCTTCTAGGAAAGTGAGGGGGAAGGGTGTGGGAAGGTGGATGGGTGTGGGAAGGTGGATGTGGGAAAATAATCCCTTAATTTACCTTACTCGACAACCTTGAAAAATTTGCAATACAAAAAGTATAGAAATGTAATTCAAAAGTGAAATATCATGCTTTACTTCAATTTGCTAAAGGTTTCGTGAGTGGTCCAGGGGGGCGAAGCCCCGAAAATTTCGACAATGTAGGTGTATCAAAGGCTTATTTAATCGATTTTAGAGTCTACTAATATGTAGAATAGTGCTTTCCTCCCCGATGGGGGGGGGGGGGGTCCTGGCCCCACTGGCGTGGCGCCACTTTGTAAAGTTCATTGTTTAATTTTTCTTATTTTGTTATTCTGAAACACTTTGGAAATCAATACTTTAGCATTGAAAGTGTTAATCAGTATAAAGAAACAATAAATAAATAAATAAATAAAAAATAAATAAATAAAATAAATAAACTCCCTTTTGAATGAGTAAGTAATTAAATAAAAATATTTAAATAAAAAAAACAAATAAATGTTCTGGTGGTGTATTTTAATTGGCCTATTGATTTTAATCTGAATTTTAGTAATTTAAAATTTAACTGAAATATTATATTCTTTTAGTAATTTTAAAATTGTTACTGCAATCTTCATGCAACATTCTAATATTTTCGAAATTACGATCTTTATATTGCATGTTTGGAGTTTTTAGTATTTCACTTGTCATTCTTATGTATATTTTATCTATATGGACCAAATGAGGCTTGGCATTTCAAAACAAGGGTACTGTCACTAATTGGTAAACTGAGTGATTAGCATAAGAACTGTCTGCATCAATAGAATATTAAAGTCACATTTCTTTGATATCTAATTAGCTGACACATCAGCTGCATTATGCTTCTAGGAAAGTGAGGGGGAAGGGTGTGGGAAGGTGGATGGGTGTGGGAAGGTGGATGTGGGAAAATAATCCCTTAATTTACCTTACTCGACAACTTGAAAAATTTGCAATACAAAAAGTATAGAAATGTAATTCAAAAGTGAAATATCATGCTTTACTTCAATTTGCTAAAGGTTTCGTGAGTGGTCCAGGGGGGCGAAGCCCCGAAAATTTCGACAATGTAGGTGTATCAAAGGCTTATTTAATCGATTTTAGAGTCTACTAATATGTAGAATAGTGCTTTCCTCCCCGATGGGGGGGGGGGGGGTCCTGGCCCCACTGGCGTGGCGCCACTTTGTAAAGTTCATTGTTTAATTTTTCTTATTTTGTTATTCTGAAACACTTTGGAAATCAATACTTTAGCATTGAAAGTGTTAATCAGTATAAAGAAACAATAAATAAATAAATAAATAAAAAATAAATAAATAAAATAAATAAACTCCCTTTTGAATGAGTAAGTAATTAAATAAAAATATTTAAATAAAAAAAACAAATAAATGTTCTGGTGGTGTATTTTAATTGGCCTATTGATTTTAATCTGAATTTTAGTAATTTAAAATTTAACTGAAATATTATATTCTTTTAGTAATTTTAAAATTGTTACTGCAATCTTCATGCAACATTCTAATATTTTCGAAATTACGATCTTTATATTGCATGTTTGGAGTTTTTAGTATTTCACTTGTCATTCTTATGTATATTTTATCTATATGGACCAAATGAGGCTTGGCACTTCAAAACAAGCGTACTGTCGCTAGTTGTTAAACTGAGTGATTAGCATAAGAATGTGGCTGTAATTGTATACTTTATTACAGAGAAGATATAATGATTTTACTCATAACTTTAATAATAGTAAGTCGATTCCAATAAATGATCCTTCATTTTAAAGCTTACAATGTGGAAAATATAAAAAATATGTTAAAAAGGTCAATTGTCCTTTATTGGTCCGTTTCTGATGCTGGTCTTGGGATGGCAAGCCTTAAATGTTTTTTTTTATAAAACTTAAATGACCCAAAAATATACTCAAAGCTATTTCCATATTGGACAAATAAAACTAAATCTGAATCTAAAGATAACTTGGTCAAGGACATCTTCAACGGTCAGACCCAGCATATAATTTGATGTTGGATAATATGTCAGCGAAAGGAGCAAAACTTTTCTGTCTTGTAATCTATTGTTAGTTTATGATGACATTTAAAACCTACCTTGTCTTCACTGCAGACATATCAACCTTTTAAAAAACAATAAAAATTAAGTTGAAAAACAAAATGACTAAAAATAACCATACATAAAAGTACATACCAATATATTACATAGATACTGCAGTTGCCTAAGCAATGGTGTAACAGTAATATTTATAGGAGTGATGTTTTGTCCAACTTGACATGTTATGGTATGTTCCAAAATACTTGCGAAAAATAAAAATTCGCATATGACTTAGGTGGGAATCGAACCCATGACCTCTAGATAACTAGCCTGTCGCCACAACCACTAGACTACTGAGCTTGCGCTTAGTGACGGTGTTGAATCCAATCCCCAAGTAGCAGCGGGTACGTACTGCCAATGCTATCTCGATGCATGTGAGTTTGCCTCAGGAAAATACCATAGGAGCGATGTTTTGCCCTAGCTGACGTGTTATCGTATTGAATACTTAGTACGTTTCCAAATACTTTGCGATTCAAGTCAATCAATTTTTTCGCAAGTATTTGGGAACGTACTGAGTATTCGGTAAGGCAAACCTATCACGCCTATCATGATATTTTCCTGAATTCATCGAAATAGTAAGGCATTAGTAAATGGCTAGCCACTTGTTAGCAAAGGCACTTTTATTTAAATCTTAAATTGAATGTACCTTTTAACTTCAATTTTAATACTATAATGAATCTCAAAAGGATCAAATCAAATTCATGCCGTTTTATACAATATACATTCCGTTTCATATATTTTCACTTTTTAAGGCCTTAACACTGATACAAAGCCTAACTGCATAGCATTCTTGATGATAATAAATTAATTTAAATACATCATTTTCCCCTAATTAGAAATATTAAACATAGATATTAAAGTACTATATCTGCATATCCATTCATAGATGATTTATGTAGTCAAAGAATTCAGTAAGGAAACTGAATTAACCACCCACTCTTTGATGGCTTTCCGTGGTCGCTGTTATCTGACAAACAAATGTGATTTGTAGTGAAGATTTACTGTTGCAAATATCTTAATTCTTACACAACCTACATACTTTTGCCATCAGACTTTTGCTTCCAACAGAAATAATTAGATTAAAGCCAACATTTGTGGTGGTTCCAGAATTTTATTCCAAATCCAATGAAAATTCCAAGCCAAGGCATTGCCTAGGAGCAAGGAAATTCAACAAAAGTATGCTCATCTTGGGGAATCAAAGGTTATTACTCTAGCATCAAGATTCTACATGTTGTGCACCCACACACGCTTGACTGAGTTTAACTTACCCCCATGCTTACCAGTTGTAATAATAATCGCACATCATGCGGTGATTACAAATGTCTAATGATTTTTTTACACTAACATCTAATAGACTGTAAATATATTCGTTATTTCAACATTAATTTTACCAATGAGGGTTGCCTAGAGCAAGGCAATTCAACAAAAGTATGCTCATCTCGGAGCATCAAAGTTTATTACTCTAGCATCCAGATTCTACATGTCGTGCACCCACACGCACTTGACTGAGTTTAACTTACCCCCATGCTTACCAGTTGTCATAATAATCGCACATCATGCGGGAATTACAAATGCCTAATGATTTTTTACACTAACATCTAATAGACTGTAAATATATTAGTTATTTCAACATTAATTTTTCCAATGAGTGGGTGGTTCAAGAGACTGACTTAAAAGAAAAAAATAAATAAATTTGCTGTACTCAAATGTTCGTTTTGTGCACTTAGTTCAACATTGTCAAAATGACAGTTTAATGTTATACAAGAATATGAATTTTTTTTTAAATCGTAAAATTTAATTTGCTACAACTTTTCATTTTGTTGATCAATTTTTACAAATCAAATTGTAAAATTTAATTTGCTACAACTTTTCATTTTGTTGATCAATTTTTACAAATCAAATTGTAAAATTTAATTTGCTACACCTTTTCATTTTTTTGATGTTTTACAAATCAAATTGTAGTTTATAAAAGCACTTAGCTTATGATAAAAAGACCGAAGTACACAAAATTAATAAAAACAATAGTTAAAACTGTTTCTTCAACAACTGTTTCGATCACTTTCTTCAGGCAAATGAATTGGGCCATTCATGCTTCAGTAGGTGAGTGTGCTAGCATGAGTTTGTCCCGGTGCACCTCTCCCCCCACCCCCACCTCCTTGTGTGCTCTGTTTGAATAATTGTAGGTCATCATAAATATGTCACTGACCGAAGCATGAATGACCCATTCATCATGTTTTTTTACATTGTGTTTTCTAAGACAGAATTAAATTTCCATCTAATCTTACAATAAATCTTTCTTGAATCTTGACAACATAATTTACAAAGGCAATATTTTTGCATTTCAAGAGCAATTTTCGTTAATCAAAAAGTGAATCAACTATTTTTATCAGATTTGTTTGCCAGTTATTTATTAGTAATCAAACCAAATCAATCTAGTAATTTCCTTTAGAAGAATAACAAATTGAACAGAGAATTGAAAAAGATTAAACATTTTATTGTTGAGTTCAATGGTTGAGTGGTTAAGAAAAGGGTGTTGCAACCTACAGCCAAAATATCGGGGCTAGTTCAAGTGATACGCTCGCTTATTGCTCTAATGGTTGAAGAAGTCTTCTCGGATAAGGACTACAAACAGTTGGCTCATGTACACCTTAAAGAACACAGTACATCTTTCGAGATGGGTAGGGGGTCACCATGGTGTACAGGTCCGTACAGCCCCTGTTGTAGACAGATGAGAGTAGCTGGTGGTACCAGTTTACCGGGTAGTTCAAACATGAAGCGACTATTTGGGGAAAAAGAGGTTACTGAATGGTGGAAGCTCCACTACCGGAACCCAGCATACTGCCTAACGGAGTGCCTGCGTGCACCTGGGTGTGACAGCGACGTTGTTTTAATATCTGTGGGTGGAGCCCTGTTCTGGACACCTATGCCTAACCCTCATACATTTGGTGTTAGTTTAAGTAATTTAAGTCCAATTTATTTACTGCTTGTGGTTCTTTGTTATAAAGCACATTGAAGCTACTGCGAAATGCGCTATAAAAGATTATTATTACTACGATCCACACCTCAAGCACTTTGAAACTTTGGTGTAAAGCACTATATAAATCGAACTACACTAACATCACATTTTTAAAATGGTATAATTACATGGCAATGTAACTAATTAAGCAAATATTGGAAAATGAAGTTCATGATGATAACAACAGCAACACAACAAGAAAAACAAATAATAACAAAAATAATAATAATAAATACAACAATTTTAGCGCCTTGAGCACTTTCTGAAATGGATATGTATGCCATATAGATCTTTATTATTACTACTGTATTATTATTATTATTAACAATAATAAAATAGCAACAAGAAAAATAACAATAATATCGATGTCACTGAGAAGCGTTGGGAGAAATTTTCGGATTGAAATGTTAAAAGAAGTATGCATTACGAATTACTATCTTTATTAACAATTTTATTGTCACATTTTTATATATAGTTTTAAGTAGTTTATATTCTAATGGTGTTTTTGTGTTAAACTTAAATTTATAATTACTATGAATTGCAATTAAACTGTTTTTGTATTTTGTATTAATAAAGATAACAAAACAATAGTGATACAGTAATGTTAATAGAATTATACTGGTAAAAAGTACAGCAAGCATATTGAAGCAGGAATGGAAAAAGTGCATTTGCTTCACGAAAGTCGTCCATATTAAATCACAAATTGACAGTCTTATTCAATTTCAACCAGGCGTTTCATTTTATAATGAACCAAATTTCAAATGACGTATAACTTACTTGACTCCATAGAGAACTCGTACCAATTATCGTATTCCAGGAACGACAAACTAAAGAACACTGGCTTAGGTCACTGAGATTCAGGTATGAAAAAATCTGAACAGAAATAAAATAAAAATGGTTGCTTTTTTCCTCAACTCATCAAAGAGGTTATAATATAATAGTTTCACTTAAAATACAATGATTATACTGTAAGTATAGGGAAAATAATTTCATTGGAAAAAAAAAAGTATATAATATAATATACAATTCATATAAGTATTATGAATAAATTATATAAGCATATAGGCCTGGTAGAACGACAACTCATAAGGTGAAAACAAATAGGCATAGTGATGTTTTTCTACCGTGCAATATATGGCTATTTAATAATAGATTTTCTAGACACACAGTAAATACTTGATAAATATAATTAAGCACCTTTTGCGTTTTTTTATACTATCCGTTTTTTACCTAATAAGTAATCCATACTCAGAAAATAATTTAATACTGCTTTTATATGATGAATAAAATTATGTGGGGAACACCAAATGTTTGAACATTTCTGACTTGGATTTAAAATATGAAGGAGGCTGCAATGGCGATGTATTACCTTAACTGCTACTTTTCGTGGTAGCAACGAGATGTCAACTCTAGAACCCCCTCTCAAGTAGAATGAATAATCTTCGCCATCAAGTTCGCCACGTTCAATCCGCTGAGATTAAAAAAAAAAGAAAAGCAGAGCATAATTGATTTGACTGATGATTGGAATGGTCATGGAACGAGCTCGCTTACCTTACCCAGAATTTTCCCCCAGAATTTTTCCATTCAAAATTGTCATGTTTAGAAACAGTTGTGGATTACACAAAGATGCACAGTATTTTTTTTTTTCATGTTGGAAATGGACCCTAGACATGCAGAAACACCTACAAGAATGAAGACATAGAGGTGTACATATATCAAATTCTAAAATACTACTTTATTTCTAAAATTTCTCAAGAATTTTTCCGTTCAAAATTGTTGTGTATAATCCAGTGATAAGGAAATCATTCAACCATTTGAGAAGTTTTGGAATAGTTGTATAGAATACACAAAGATGCAGATGATTTTTTTTTTTGGTTGGAATGGGCCCCTAGACAATCAGAAACATCTAGACAAAAAAGCCATACAGCTGTACATCAGTAGAGAAATATAAAATTTTATTGACAAAAAAAAACAAGAATGCAAGGTCAAAACCAACGTGTGCTCTTGGGCCTATGTATGACTAGATTCAAATTCATGATCTTAATGCAATGTTCCAATGTAAACACATTAATGAATCCGATTGATAATTTTTTTTTATTTTATGAAATACGAAATACTTTATTGCAATTTGCATCCAATTACTGAATAGAGTAAATGAATCAAATTGAATTCGATGATATGAAATACAAATTGGATTTACCAAAAAAAAGTACATCAAAATAGAAAGACAAATGGATTATATAAACAAATTCATATAGATTAAGAAAATAAATGACAAACTTTAAGAAGTCAATTTAAATTTTACTTATAAGAAGAAAAACATTAAATTAGAAAGACATGACATGAATTTTAAAAACCACATAAGTAAAATTGATAGATTAAAAAAGAAAATTATTAAAAAATTATTATTATTATTATTATTATTATTATTTTTGGTACAATTATTATTATTACTATTATTATTATTTTTATTATAATTATTAAGAATAATTATTTATGCTACATATCTATTTAATTGTAAAGAAAAAAAACCATAAGTAATGTTGGAAATGTTGATATTTGTAATCTTTCGAAAGTATAGCTACAATTTGAATTTTTTAAATTTGTAAACAGATATCTTTTCCCTTAATGAATTAATTTCCTCAATACTAACTGCAAATGAAACACTGTTAGCAGGCATATCAAATTGTATAAAATGTATGAGAGCAGTCAATTAGAAAACTGGTGGTAGCTACTGTGTGTGCGCTGAACCGTGGAGACCATTTCAGGTCCCTGGATCAATTCCATCACTGCTGCTCAATCTCTTTCTGCTTCAGCTGGAGGTCTCAAATACAAGTATAATGTATACCAAACAACATTTTGGGAATGACACTAGACATATGTGCAATAGGCCTGTCCCACATGCATGTTAATAATTCAGTATTAAAGCAAAGGTGAGGCATGTTTTAGCAAAAATTAAAATTAAAGTTATTGGTATTTTCAGATACCTGAGTATGTGATCTTTAAAATGAGGGGTCATTTATTGAAATTGGACATTTCAAGCTTAAGTTATTGGAAAGTGAAAGTACAGTACGTACTCTTAGAATCAAGATAAACATGATTTGGAGTAATTGCCTTTCAAAGTTATTTGTGCATACATTGTTTAATAGAATGAACTATCAAAATAACATTAAATAAACAATTTGTTGACCACTTCCAGAACTAATACTTTGGTACATGATATAATAAAACATTAAACTGTTGATCTATAATGAAAAAAAAATTTGGATTTTTAAGTAATTTTTGAGTTCCCATATTTTATAGCTCATTTACTCATTACTGGCCTGTACGAAAACTTAACCATTTCGCCACGACATGCCTCAGGTAGGAGAATCACCCATAAATAATGGCGTCACTGTACTGGTACTGATATGGGTATTTATAATGTGGCTCTTCCTTGCGGTTATAAAGGGCAGTTCACCCATAAATCATAGAATCAAGATAAACATGATTTGGAGTAATTGCCTTTCAAAGTTATTTGTGCATACATTGTTTAATAGAATGAACTATCAAAATAACATTAAATAAACAATTTGTTGACCACTTCCAGAACTAATACTTTGGTACATGATATAATAAAACATTAAACTGTTGATCTATAATGAAAAAAAAATTTGGATTTTTAAGTAATTTTTGAGTTCCCATATTTTATAGCTCATTTACTCATTACTGGCCTGTACGAAAACTTAACCATTTCGCCACGACATGCCTCAGGTAGGAGAATCACCCATAAATAATGGCGTCACTGTACTGGTACTGATATGGGTATTTATAATGCGGCTCTTCCTTGCGGTTATAAAGGGCAGTTCTTTTCCCTGGTCATTGTGCTGAATTGCGTATGGGAGTGTTCCATGACAACGCTAGCAGCCGTAGAAAAGCACTTTAGTCACTTCATGTTCTTATAAATCCACAACAACAGGGGTTGAAATGAACCATAGATTCAGGGATGACCCTCCCCCACCCCCACACCCACTCCTCCGAAAAATGCAATGATTTCTTTAAAGTACACAAAAGTCAGATGTGTACACTGAACCTCCAGTTTTTAATAAGTCATTATCTGAAAAGAATTAGTTCTAAACAGCGAGTAGGCATGTTGAAATACGATACAATTACAATATTGCAAATTGCTATGTATATGTCAACCGATATATATATATATTATATATAGGGATTTAAAACTGATTTGGTTTTAAAATAGAAATTTATCTATTATTATGCTCTCTAAGAATTTCATCTGGCTTGGAAAAACAAGAACATACATTATACAGTATTATTATCATGTTGATGCTGATGCGCTCAATGGATATTATTAGCAATGTTTATTCAGATATCTAACATGCCAGCTACTGTACATTGTTGGATTGCGTGACATTTACAGAGTTTAAAATAATAATAAAGCTATGCAATAAAAACATTCAAATATACAGCATTTATAAAACGAAGACTTAATAAAAACAAATTACACAACATTTAAATTCTTTTTTCTCCCTCTGCATATTTATATGGCTCATTTTCTAAAATTACCACAAGCAGCAATGTTTTGAATGTCAAAATTCTAATTTCCATAAAATCGCTACACGCTATCACTGACAGCTCCCCGGACAGCTCTCAGCGATGCTGATTGGTTACTAAAATCAAGGAGCCTTCCCGATTGCGTCAGAGACTACATAGTGTTACAATTACAGTGAAAATAATAAAAGTAAATTACATAATTCATATAGCGCACATTGCATGGCCTGTCTCTATGCACTTTACACTGAAATTAAAGAGGATTTAAAACAATCATAAAAGTAAAGATAATAAAAATGTGGCAGAAAATTGTCATTTGATATTGTTTTTTACGAATACAAGCATATAGTAATAATACAAAGAACTCATCTATAATTTTCCCAATCCTATGCATTACAATAGGCTGTCGCTAAGCTTAGATGCAGCGATGCACCTGGCATGTCATCACAAATTTAGTTTAAAGCGTTTACAGTATGTAAGGTTCAAGATTCGTAATTTTAAAATGGGATATTATATGTAACTGAGTATGCTAAATCAGTTCCCAAATTATCCAAAAAACAGTACATTTCTCCTTTAAGCCTTTTGTATTAAGCAATGTTTAGAAATGTTTTGGAACAAATTTTATATGAAGAATTTTAGAAATAAGTACATACTGCATACTAGTCCAAAATGCGTCCATTCCCCTGTTGTCAGTGCCACTATTAAGAATAGGTAGGAAAAGTGACAAAGGGGTGACCAAACCATAAGTAGACCATTCCAGTCAATATTGAAAATAAATAACACTTGTAAGTGTTCTTCAATTTCTTTATTGAGTTGTGTGCAATTAAAATTGGGTCTTCCACTAATACGATCGCCGTAGATGAAAAGATCTCATGAAACGTGCCAAATCAGCAGACGACCAGCATTAAGGATGATGAGTTCATTGTACGAGGTCAGTCACTTACAAACTTTGTACATTATTGATCTCCTGATTACTGGAAAATTTAGTTTGTCTAATTAAACAGCTTAAACTACAACAAACTGACATTTTGTTACCATGGTAATGATAATAAATCATTTCACAATTATTAGAGATTATAAATTAATTTTTAATGCAATTATCTAATCTTGGTTATCTATGGCCTTCAATAGCATGTATGAAAAACAAGCTCTTTAAAAGCAAGTTAATATACAGTACTTATTCATGCATACATACGCAATCACTTATTCACTCACTCACTTCATCCTTTATTCATTTCTTCCACTTAATTATACTCATTCTTCTACTCACCCACTCACTCAGCCTCTTACTCATCCAGTCATTCATTCATTAATTCATTTGTTCATGCACACATCTACCATACTTATTCATCTGTCCATTAACCCATCAATTCATTCACCAACTCACTGATCCATCCATACTAGACCAATTTGGTTGGACTCATAAACTGATCAATCAACACACTTAGCCCAGCCCCTTGTCTTGATAAAGATAAACATATCCAATTTGCTTAGAAAAAAAGTGACTAAATATTAGTAAACTATTGGTTCTGGGCTAACAAAACATAAATTTTTACAACCAAAAAATTTAAACAGATTATTAATTCATTTTGTGACCCTTTCATGAATATTTGTAGTCATGTGGTCATAATTTTAGCAGCCAAAATGCGTAGGATACATGATGGTTCACCATGAAACTTAAAATCAGCCCATAACATACTAAACAATATTTCAAGTTGTCAGGCAATGAAACAATTGTTTTTTTGTTTGTTTTTTGCTTGTTTGTTTGTTTTTTTGTTTTTTTTTTGGAGGGGGGGGGGGTTTTTTAATGTTCCATTTTTCATTTTAAAGATAAACATATCCAATTTGCTTAGAAAAAAAGTGACTAAATATTAGTAAACTATTGGTTCTGGGCTAACAAAACATAAATTTTTACAACCAAAA